TTGCCTAGGCATTGCCTAGGCGCCCGCCTAGGCGTCGCCTTGACAACTATGGTCAAAACTAATTCAGGCTGCTCCACTCCACTTTCAACTAGGTAATCTGTGAAAACACACTTGTATATCTTCCTAACCATGAAAATATATACTTCAAGTTGCTTGTAGATCTTTTACCTCTCAAAGGAAATGTGTTTCATAACTAAGACAACACAACAAGAACATGGAAGGGTGCATATTAATCACACAGACTACAATCATTTGATGGTACTTTAATACTCCAGGGATAATAAACAAAAGAACAACAAAAATAGAATGCCAGTAAGARCCTAATTCCTTCTTTTAAAAAGCAATCCTTCCACTGGTCCAGTCTTCCTTTAAGAGGAGTAAATAACAGTATAACACATAAAGGAAGAGTAAATAACAGTATAACACATACCTAAGTGAATTCACTTCTAGGATCACATTGTCTTGTTTCACATTTTCATGAACAGCCCTTAAAAATGTTGCTTCAACCTGAAAATTATAAATGGGTTAAGAAAACAACTTGCTAGACAAAATGGGGATTTATCAGTATCAATATCACACATTAATCACCTCTCTCTCAAAGTAAACAGAATCATCTTTAAAATCTTCATTATCATCAACTTCAGAATTAGCAATGTCAGAGTCAGGCCTCAACTCTCCTGAAGGTGGAAGAACACTGCCATCTTGAGTTGATAAATCTACATCATCATTTGAATATTGCATCAACTCCRTAAGTTTGTCTGCAGGAATGGGTGCAACTGAATGCTTCCATTCATCTTCTTGTCCACCTTCACAAACTGACCAAATATAACCAGCTCCTGAAACACCAACCTGATAAACAATGCTTAAAAATGTAAGATGCGAAAAAGAAGCACCTCATTGATTGTACAGTGTACTAATAAGATATAAGAATATAGCAAATTTTCATTTAGAATCCAAGGCCTTAGATATAATTAATATTCAAATTTAACATTCTATAATGGTTAAAAGAAAATGAGCAATACCAATACTTGGTGTAATGGTAAAACCTCGGTATATCAAGTGACTCAAGTGTGAGAACACGGGTTCAAGCCTCTGAATGGCCATTTTGTATGTGTGTGTAACGTGAGGCATTACCCAATGTTGGTCCCAGTTATATACATACATACACAAATACACACACATATGTATGTATGTATGTATGTATATATATAT